ATCAAGGTAGTGCCTGGGTGGAGATAGGCCCAAGACCAGATAATACATTGTTATCGTATCTTGAAAGTAATAGCATGGACATTGATTCTGCGAGATTCCTTGCTCAAACAGGATGGCAATCCAGCATCCCCCAAGCTGATAGAAAGTCAGGACACATTAACACTAAAGACATTTAAAGCAGCTTGGGTGCGACAGCACAGTGTCTTATGGATACAGTCTAAAGCAGAAGATGACTTCTGGTTCTGTTTCAATAGGAAAAGACGTCTTGGTTTAATGGCACAGAGAGCGCCAAAATATTGCCAATTGATATACCATATATACTTGAGTATAAGCCAACCTGAATATAAGCCAAGGGACCTAATTTTACCACCAAAAAAAATGGGAAACGGATAGACTCGAGTGTAAGCAAAAGGTGCGAAATGCAGCAGATACTGGTAAAATTCAAAATAAAAATACATACCAATAAAATGACATTAATTGAGGCATCAGTAAGTTAAATGTTTTTGAATATTTACATAAAACTTAAAGATATGACTGCCCAAACCTGATTAAGCCATTATTCTAACCTTCTTCAATGTAAATGTGCTTACATATCCTTCCAGTAATAATAATGAGCGTAAAATAATATATGTAATAATAATAATAATAATAATGTAAAATAATGGAAATGTAATAACAGTAATAATAGAGTAAAATATAAATGTAATAATATCAATAATAGGGTAAAATAATAATTGTAATAATTACAACAATAAAGTAAAATAATAAATATAATAATAATAATAAACAACAACAGAGTAAAATAATAAATAACCTTGACTTGAGTATCAGCTGAGGGGGACCTTTTTCAGCCTAAAAAAGGGCTGAAAAACTAGGCTTATACTCAAGTATATACAGTAGTTGCCCACTCATTCTTTTTGGCCATTAAAAGCAATAGGAGATTTCCTGCTAACCTAAGACAAAAGGATACCATTCTGGTTTTGTTATTTCTGAGAATTATAATAGCTAATCTCTTTATGGCAAGATGGCTTACTTCAGATAATAATTTATGCTCAAAAAACCTTTTGTCTTCATATTGCAAAGACAATAGGAGTTAAACACGCACAAACCCAAGGCACGCTTATCCATCCCGTATTTTATCCAATTGTTCTTGTTGCTTGGATTAATTCTTTGGTTCACATGAAAACTGTGGACTACCTGTAGTACTTGACAGGCAGATTGAGTATTCTATTATCACTTTTCTTTTCCCTTTTAATGTGTTTATATTATAAAGTATAATAAGTACTTCTGTTTTGAGTGGGACATTTTTGCTTTGTATCAATTATTAAAAATGTGCATGAGCTTACACAATAAGGCATAGACTTGTTGCTGTTCTGTCTTGTTAAATATGTATTCAGCCTTCAATTCATAGGTTAATAGCATTTATTTGCTTTTGAAAATGTGTATTTGGTAGTTCTATTATGTTAATATAGACTAAATGTACCCTCTTCAGAAATATTTGCTTTGTTTTAAATAGGTATTTCCACAACTGTTAATCTGCATGTTGACTTCTGGAGCGGTATTCTTATTAGGCAGCTTGTGAAAAGCTAGAAGTTAACACTCTCTGCCACTTAAGGGTCTATCACCATAAATAATAGTTAAATGCTGTTCCATACAAATTGATTTTACAGGTCCTGGGGGTCAGAAAATGCCTGTGTGATCACTCATAGCAATACACCGCATAGGATTAAACAATGAAATTTTCTTTCTCCTTCCTCTACTTACCAATTTAATACAGAGTCTACAAAGAGCTTTTTACAAATAATTTTATTTTGTACTGATATTTTTCTAAAGCAGAAGAGCAACTTCTGTAATGATTTTTTTTTCATGTCAGGAGCGACTTGAGAAACTGCAAGTCGCTTCTGGTGTGAGAGTAATGACTGGATGCAAGGACATTGCCCAGGGGATGCCTGGATGTTTTGATGTGTTACCATTATTGTGGGAGGCTTCCCTCATGTCCCCGCATGGGGAGCTGGAGCTGACAGAGGGAGCTCATCCGTGCTCTCCCCAGATTCGAACCTCCGACCTGCCAGCACAAGAGTTTAACCCATTGTGCCACAAAAGGTATTGAAATAAGAATGGAGTACAACAAACCGTAGTACGCTTTTGTTCATGGAAAAAAAGCTGCACAAGCAATTACAAAACAAACAAACAAACAAACAAACTGCTTTTGGTGGACTATGCCCTTTTAGACAGATTTCAAAAATCTGTTTTTGCCAATGATATTACTGTGCCTAATTCAAGCACAGGATACAGCATAGCTAAGTCAACAGTATAACTCATGGGAGAGATTTTGTGATTTTTAAAATAAGAATATAGCATTGTGAATAATAGCAGTTGTCTTAAAAGGAAGCGAGGACTTGGATTGAAAAAAAGCACCACGGAAAGCCAGAGTGGCAATTTCTTATTTTGTGCCTGGAAATACAACATCTTAATCACTGGATTTTGCCATTCAGCTGTTTTATATTGACGGACTTTAGTCTCCCATTTTTCTGCTCTTGAAAGTGATAAATATGATTGCTCTGTTATCCATTTTTTATTGTATACGACCCAGGCTCCCCACTCTTTGGCTGTGCATCAGCCGTTGGATTGCTGCCATCCATTAATGCAAGCTCCCCGTGGAGAGCCTGGTGAAGAATTATACTCCGATTCACCAGATTGTGTTAAATAGTCCAGCTGTTGAGCTTTGAAAGATAGTTCACTTCCAAAGTGAAATAAAAAGGACCTTGGCATTTACGGCTGCGACCATTTTCCTCGTGTTGGGGCAATCAGCGTTTTCCGAGGTAGCATTTTCCTCAAATAACTCCCTTAGCATTATGTCACTTCTAAAGTTTCCTTCCCCACAATGTTCAAAAGAGTATTTCCCTTTCCAGTTTCAGGGGAAGACGGAAACCTACGGCAGTTTCCAGCATTATTTTCCTAACATAAAATGTTGAACAATTCTGGAATGGAATCACCAACTTAATCTATGAAGATTAACTTGATGAACTAATTAGCCTCACACGCCTGTGTTAGAAATAATGTGCATAATCTGAACTATAAACAAACACATAGGTCAAGCAGCATTTTTAAGTGCTCAATTCATCTTAAGGAAACCTGGCTGTGGAGGACAAAATTCTTCCAGGACAACGCTTTGCCATTTCTGTGATCTGGCTTTCATTAGCTAAAGCGGCAGGATTTTATTGCTTTAAGCCAATGAAATTGCACAATTTCTGCTTCCCCCCTGTCTTGCTGGGTAACCTTTCTTCTTGAACAATTGCTTGAGCTGGTCCAGTAATAATTGGACTCATCACATCAATTTCCTTCTCCCCAAAAGATTCTTCTTGTAGTTTCCAATGCTTACAGTTTACTGGCAGCTGCCACGGACTATGGTCAAATCTGTCAGTTTGCACTTCTTGAGTGCAACTGCTGGCCAATTGTATCTTAAATTATTTTTCCACAAGGAAAATTTTAGCATAACCAAAGGTTATGAGCCAAGTATTGTAGCATTCTAAAAATTTATCTCCAGGAAAGGTTCCAGTACAAATAAATGGCAATAAACATGAAATTCGTAACAATATTAGATAAGATAGAATTATCATCACTAGGTAATAATAATAATAATAATAATAATAATAATAATAATAATAATACTTTATTTGTACCCCGCTACCATCTCCCCAAGGGACTCGGTGCGGCTTACATGGGGCCGCACCCACAATACATCAGCAAAAACAACAACAACAGTAATACAAAACAATAAAATAAAACTCATAAACAGAAAATAAGCAGTAAACATCAACAATAACACAACAACATTTAAAAAACCTATGACTGGGCCAAATGTAATAGTTAAAATTTTAAAAATAATGCTGAACATGACCAGGTGAAATATAACTAGGATAGAATTTTCGGAGAAGAATGGGGCATGCAGATAATCCTAAAGTGCATTTAGAGACGTATTGCTGGGAGTTTCCTTATTCTGGGAAGGCACACTGGAACCACATTATCCAAGTTATTGGAAGTTATTGGAAGAAACTAAGGTCCCTTCTAGACAGGCCCTATATCCCAGGATTTGATCCCAAGTTTTCTGCTTTAAACTGGATTATATGAGTCCCCACTTCCAGATAATCTGGGATAAACAGAAAACCTGGGACCAGATCCTGGAATATAGGGCCTGTCTGGAAGGGCTCTAAGTGTCTGTCTATACAGGCAAAAAAAAACCATTGTAACCAGTTCTGTGGACATGGTATAGTTAATGCTTGGTGTGTCATATTCTGTTCATTGGGACACTCTCTAATTGGAAGAAGATCAACAACAAAGATGGTCCTGGAGCAGATGAATGATCATTAGCAGAAACCTTTTATGTGAACCCTGGTGAATACTCAATGAAATGTGAAGCAAAGTCACCACTCCAAATTCACTGGAGTTAGGGTCACAGTATCCCCACAAGTGAAAACAAAAAATCATGAAATTGTTATTTTTTTTTACTGGAAAAACACTTTGTTAGGCATATATAGTGAACTTGCACTGGATCATACTGAGCACCTAAAGATTCCTAGAGAGATGTTCTCGCTGATACAGTGATCAACTTGTATCAGAAGTTGACTATTGATTTGCACCAGAGGACCTAGAGAGGTTTTCATTAAAAGCAATGATCAAATCTGCAAACGTGGAGGGATGACTGTATTATAATTTGTCTCCTTGTTAATCTAACCATTATTTCCATGCTGCTAATATAACATGACTGAGATCCCCAGAACAATTGTCACATTAGCTCCAGTCCCTTTAGTGAAGTACCACTTCAGAAAGTTGTGTGAGAACTGCAAAAATTGCCTGAAATCGTATGCCATAATGCAGCTATTGTTTCCTGAACATGTGCTGTAACATTGGTTGGGGGTATTGTTTATTTAAAGGATTTGCAAGTACAAAGAAGCATTTAAAGAGTTATGGTTTTAAAAATAAATCATCATGCCTTTCAGGTCACCGAGAGATGTGGGACTTGAAAACAAGGTTGCTGGTATAGAAAAGCCAGAAGAATCCATGGTACTATTGAATGCTGAGAAAACCAAAGAGCAAATGCCTGAACATGTGGATCAAGGCCAGATGACTAAAGAAAAAGGTCAACACCTTCATAAAGATGGTAGCGTGGAACAAACAAAAGAAAAAGACACCTCTCACTGCTAATTGACGTACGAAAAGGCATTGACTTCTGGAAATTCCTTTCAGTGATTGTCAATTGTGTTGTTTCTGTTTGTGCAAAGGGCTATTCTTCATACTTTCTGGTGTGTCTGGTTTACTGAATTAGCCTTAGTTTTATACAATCCAAAGTCTCACTTTGGGCTACTTACTCCTGTTTTTACCTCTGCTCTGAGACTGTCTCTCCAAAAGCTGTGAGATGTTTACTTCTTAAATTATGCAAAATATCAAATATTATTCTGCAATAATGACTTGCTTAAGGCGTGATTCAAAGACTACTGATGCTGATATGAAAGCATAGGTCAAACTTTAATGAGGTTGAAACATCAATGTACTTGTGTGAGTGACTGATAGGGTAACCACAATTTTCTTTAGCAAACAAAGTCTACTGAGGCCTTGTTTGTAAGACTTATTGGGCTGTTTCCTTTGGCCAGAGGTGGTCACACTTTTTCCAGGGTGACATGATGTAGATTCAAGAGGTCTATTTTTTCCAATATGTTCCTTATGATCTTTCCCTTCTCCTATTGTTACCTGTGCTGGTGGAGTTTGGTGGTATATTGCATTAATGGGATTCTGGTTTTTGCACTTTTGAACATTTAGCAGGCTTCAAGTTATTGTCGAAGGCTTTCATGGCCAGAATCACTGGATTGTTGTAGGTTTTTCAGGCTGTATGGCCATGTTCTAGAAGCATTCTCTCCTGACGTCTCACCTGCATTTATGGCAGGCATCCTCAGAGGTTGTGAGGCTTCAAGTTCTCATTAAAATGGCAATTTACTTCTGAGTCATTGTAGTTCAAACTGCACTGATAGTCACATAATAGCATCCATGTTATCCAGGCAGTTTAAATAGCCATAAATGGGCAAATGTTTCAAAAATATATACAATTTGTATCAGATTGTATGCAATGCTTAAATAAAAGGCATTCATTGCATTATAGAGTTGGAAAGGATTGCAAGGGCCACCTAGTCCAATCCCATTCTCTGTGAAACAGAAAATAAACTGCCTCTGCGTCTTCTAGGAAGTGACTAGCACATAATTTGTGTTCTTACTTGTAAGCAAATTAGTTTTTAAATATTAGAACACTATATAAATCGATTAAACTTCGTTTAGTCAAGTAATTTAGCTGACTCAATTGACTCACAGTACCATTCTATATGTCCAGCTGAGTTCATAGGACTTTCTTCCAGGTAAATAAATCAGAGGTCAGCAAAGTGCAGGCCTTGGGGCAACCTATATCCCCAAATACGTATTATGGCCCTCAACACTTCCAGTCATGTTTCTGGCCAAACAAAATGGAGTGATTGCTCTCCTAGAAGCCTCCAAGTTTAGTAATGGGCATTTTAAATAGCTTGTAAGGCCCCCCTGCATTATTAAATATAAGAAATAAACATTTTTGAGAATCAAAAGTGGACATCTGATCACTTTAGTGGAGTTGTTCAGAGGCCCAGTGCATAAAGCAGGCCTCTGGACCTACTCTACTTGGCCAGTTTTTGCCTAATGAAACTGGGGAAAATAGTTGTGTTCTTGCCCCTTCTTCAATTTCCATTCATTTCAAAGGGCTTTGCTTGGTGGATTTTGTCTATATTGCTAACATTCAAAAGTACAATCTTTTACAGAAGGGCTAGTGGCAGCTGGTGGCTTCCATATCAGTCACGTGGTAAATCTGCTCTGGGTTTTAGTCCAAACATCGAAGGAGCTATCCAATATGTTGAGAATGTTTTGGGGATGAGTGAAAACCACAAGTAGATTCACTGCATTAATGTTATTGAAGCCATCAGTTCACACTGATAAGGGCTATTGTATCCTTCTTGTTCAGTTTTGCATCAATACATTTGGAAAGCAAAAATACAGTACTGTAACAAGATTTTTTTTCATCAGTTTCTTTGCAAGTACAAAGTCACAAAAGCTTGCTTAGCTGTTGAAAAGATCCAAAGCACAAATTGTTCCAGAGATAGGGAATATTAATCGAAAGCTTCCATAGCTGAAGTGAAATGGAAACAGATTTCCATTGGCTTGATTGGCAATGCACTCTTTACTTTCAGGGTCAGAGAGTTAATTCCCAGATACAGTGTTTGGAGGAGAACGTAAATAAATCTATTTCCTTTAACCCAATCACACACTCTATAATCTCGCTAGATTTTGTTCCACTAAGCATATATATATAGGGTTCAATCATAGCTAATTTTCTTCAGATGATACTTGCCATGTTTTCCTAAGCTTGATATTTAGGACCAAACTGCCCATCAGACCCTGGGCCAGCTCCATCACAGGCAGAAATCTGGATTTTATTTTTCTGCTTAATAACAAAAAAGTTACCACTGTTTCCAAATGATAGCTTCTCCAGAAAAGGAGATGTTAATGCGCAGGTATTCACTATATGGATAGCATTTTTGACAGGAATCAGCTTGCAGGAATATTTCATGAAACACTTTCAGCCATATTTTGTGAATGAATACAAAATAGTGAGCTGACACAGACAAAGAGCTTCCCCTCTAATGTAATATTAACCATTACATTTTCTTTATATGTTAACCATGCACTCTTCCAGACCTGCCCTCTTCAATGAAAAGCCACTTCAGAGTTGCTAAAATCTTCAGAAAATACCTCTCTTGCTCTTTGCTGTTTTGAAAAATAGCAATCATGGTAGAAGAAAGTTACAATCTCTTGCAAGCATAGCCATATTTTGACTTTATGTTTCCCTTACTGTATCCAGGTAAGGCTTTAATGTCTGTGCTACCTTCATGGGTTACTTTCATCCACTTTTGTGTTTACTTTCAACCAACTGCAGCTACAACACACTTATTTTGTATGGTCTTGATTAGAGATTGCATCAAATTAATTGTTTAGTATGGGATGGAGAACCCGAGGTCCTCTCGGTGTTCCTCTCAAAACTATCCAGACCACGACCAACAAAGTGTAAACCGAGTAAAATTCAAAATAGTGTTAATTTGGGCTTACAGTAGACAAGATCCTTTCCCCATGTCCTCACATAATAAAATGTGTTGCCCTACTGGTGAGATTGAAAGGGCTCTTTCGGTAGAATTTAGACCTCAAGACAGGCATGTTTATGGAGAGACATTCCTTGAATTACTGAGGTCTGAAGCCATGTAAGGCCTTGGTATCACCAGCATCTTGAATTTAGACTGAAATTGTACTAGAACCCCTTAAAGGCCAGTGCTATACATTTTTCTATATGATGTTCTGATCACTAGTCTTATGCACACAGCACTAGCCTCAGCTTCCAGATTGTCTTCAACAGCAGTCCTATGCAGGGTGTACTGCAGAAATCTTAAGAGTTAATTAGATGTTGCAGCCATTTCAATGTGTCTATGTATGCAATGTCTGAATCAAGTGTAAATAGTAGCTTCTTTTTAAATGCACTGTTAGAACACAGATAGGAATCACGTAGTCCAGTAACTGCATTTGGAACCCATCCAACACACAAATTTTAACAAAATACCTTGAAAGCTGCTATTTTCAGTCTTAAAGTAGGTTGTAAACAGGGCCGTAGCCAGAAAATTTTTTCGGGAGGGGTTGAAAATTTCGTTGGGGGGGGGGGGGGGTTGAAACCTGCCTCCTAGCTCATGCTGAAGCAAAGAGCACAGCAGGGGGCAGAGCACCCTTCAATAGCCTGCAGCTCCACCCCTGTCAACCACCTCCACCAAGTCTGGCCTCCTTAACACACACATTCAACACACACACGCTCAACTTGGTTGCTTCACTACATCGGCTATTGCTGCAAGTAATGACAGTGTGAATAAATTGTCAATATTTGCTTGAGATAGTGCTTGCAGTTCTGGAGGGACTCTTAATTTTTTGCATCTCATAGACTTAGCATGGGGATTTGGTTAACCAGTTAAAATTCATGAGTAAACCAGTTTTTTTAAAAAAATCTGAAACATTTCGGGGGGGGGGGTTGAACTCCTAAAACCACCCCCTCGCTACAGGCCTGGTTGCAAATATTCTAATGTGCATGGTTTTGCCTCTAAATGCTATTTAGGCCCTTACACTGCACCTCTAAGCACCTAAAAATCTATCAAAATGGGACTGGGAGTGACCAAAACATCACTTCCAGTTTCAGAAAATTGTCAGAATGTACCCCACAAAGAATCTAGGTGACTCAAAAATGGTTTCTAAAAAATCTATTACCAGCAGTCATGGATCTCACATGGTGACCACCCATAATAACTCTTGCACTGCAACCTCTCTCAATTTACTGCCGTCCAGATGTATTGTATTACAGTGAAACAATCCTTGCCAATAAATCAAAGATGGTTATTGTGAAGTCCGTGTATAATCATAGAGGTGGAAGTGTCCACAAGGGCCAACCGGTCCAATCCCCTGCCATGCAGGAACACACAATCAAAGCACCTGTGACAGATAGCCATCCAGCCTCTGCTTAAAAACCTCCAGAGAAGGAGATTCCATTGCTACACAACATTACTCCAAAACAACAGGAGAGTCATAAGTTTTGTTGAGTTTCTAACTATGCTACAAATAGCTTTATGGACTTTCTTGATACAGTTGGGAACTCAGGGTATGTAACTATGTGTTTAGTATCAAACTGTAGGGGAAGCTTTCCTATTCAGGCTTGTTGGTCTTGATGTGAGGAAAACAAGGGAACAAACGTTGGAGGTGGTACTAGTACACTGCACATGTTGATAAAACACACTGATAGAACTAATAATGATTGGTACCCCAATACAAGGTATAAGTTCCATGCAATCAAGTCAGTGCCTGCAGAAACACTGAAATTTGTATCATATAGAATGGTCACAAAGGTCGACAGCCACAAGTTTCCAAATTCTAATGTAATATATTAAATATTCCAGAGCCACAATTAATTGCAAATTATTGATCTTAGCAGAAACTTTTGTTGTTTGAAACTTTAGGGCTTTTGCAAGCAGACAACTCTGAGATGCTGTATGCTGAAAAACCACAACATATCATCCAATGAGGAATGAAAATAAATAAAATATGGGGTTTTAATCTTGCAGTAAAGTTGTTCATATGGCATATTACTCTCTCCTATGACAAATATATGGTATAATTTAATACCTTGCCTGCAAATTCAGTTTTTTAATGTATCCATCAAAATACTTTTACAATAAAATGGTGTGACAAAGATACATTTTGAAGCCTTGAACAATTTGCAATATAGTGTTTGTTTAAACTTGGGTGATACTGTTCTTGAATGCACTGTAAGATTTTTTTTTTTATAATAGGAGATGGTGATCAGTAATTCGAATTAACGGATGAATGTGTTTAGTTTGCTAGATTGGCTTTGTATGTAGATGCTCAGTGCTTATCTCCTTTAAAAATGATATCATTAAGACTGCAATCCTATGTAAACATAGCTGGGAGTAACACTACTGAATTCAGTGGCAGTGACTTTGGAAGAGATAAGCACCATATTTCAGTTAGTGCAGTAGTTGTATGCAAATACTTTTTTGGTGTGTTTAGAAAATGTTGGGGTTGATCATTCCATAAATATAGCGAAGCATGTCTATTTGTTACTCTTTTCAATCAGCCTTTCAGTAGGGCTTTTCCCCTACGAATTGATTTTGCACTTAGATCAGTTTGATTACACTGAATTTAATATGAAAATTTCTATGAGTATTTTTTCTTGAATTGTTGCAACTGGAAAAGATACAAAATTTCAAAAATGTATTTATTTCTAGTTAAATTATTTGTTATACTCTGATATAAATTATTTCTTTTTAATGCTGCTTATTAAAAAGTTTTCTGATTATTTCCCAGACATTGTTTTGGTATTATTTTCTGACTAAAACCAGAGTAATAAGGCTCAATTTCCATGCTGGAATCAACAAACATTGCGACTGACCATATATTGGAACATAGACCCCGTTTACACTGCCATATAATCCAGTTTGAAATCGGGATAGATTGGTATAATCCAGTTTAACTTAACTGAGCTGAATTATATGAATCTATACTGATCTTATAATCTATTATATAATGCAGTTTCAAACTGGATTATATGGCAGTGTAGATGAAGTCATATCCTCTTCTCCAGCACAGAAATCTAGACAAAAACACTTGGCTCATTTACGTATTTCATGTAGAGACATGCTGTATCAGTGAATAGAGCAAATCTATATGTGCATGCCTTCTGTACAAAGGCAGAGATCCTCTACAAAAATAAATTGGAAGTTTTGAGGTTATTTCTCACATCACCTGAGTTCAATATTTATACATTTATAAAGGAGCACTATCTAACAAATGTTCATTTAACTTTATTTCACAAAGGGATAGTTTTCTAAATACAAAAAACAAAGAGAACACAGGTATTTTAAAATTTCCATCTAAGATCATTCTGTCTACAACCAAATTTATTACTACTATTTTAAAATGGAAATATGATTAAGCAGTATGAATTTATTCTGAATATAAAATCCAAAATTAAGGCACTATTTTCAATGTTGACTAGCATTTTAACTATCTGCATTCTTAAATGGTCTGTTAAAATATGCATGACTTATGGATTCTGTAGCTGCTTCCTCAAGGTTTCCTTCACCAAATCTTGGCCAGAGTATCCCTAGGAAGATATTGGCCAAGATTCAAGATTAATCTGTGTGGACATTCCTGACAAGATTTTTACCACTCCCACAAAGTAGCTGTTACTCAGGGTGTTTGTTGGCAGGAAGAAGAAAACTGATCAGGCAAAACAGAAATTAAATAGTTCTCCTGGATAGAGAACAACCTCATTTTCCCCCATTTCTAGCTAGTGATGGTTACTACCTGGTTGCTTCCTTCCTCTGTAAATAGAGCAGGGATCCAAGGACCAGAAAACTGTCTTGGGGATGTTTGGGAATGTTGCTCAAGGAGTTAGGGAATACCTCTTCACCGAAAAGTCAAAAACAGACATATACAGCTGTTTTCCATCTTAGTAAACCAAGGACGGTATAGTGTGCTTCAAAGCAAATTATTCTAAGCTGCTGCTGGCCCCAAAAATATAAAAATCAAAACATTTCCTACAAAGCAGCTTGAACTATTCCTGTATCAAAATCAGTACAATCAAATTCGTCTTCTTCCTCTTCTTCCTCCTCTTCAACAAAATCAAATAAATCACGTTCATCTCTTTCACCTGTAATGAGAACAAAGATATAACCTATATGATTTTTTTTAAGTGTGCATGAAGCAGGCAAGAATCATATTTTCTAGTTTCACAAATATTTTGTCCATCTAAGAAAAAACAATCAGAAAAGTGGTTTAAAAATAAAGACACCCCCCCCCCCAAGTTAACTTATACATATATTATATATCACTTCTATTGTATTAAATATAAATCCTATACAAGGAGAAAGGCAGGACATTAAATTAAATTGTCTAGTTAAAAAGTGCACATGCCAAATTTCATTTGCAACATAGGATCCCTATCACAGCAAACTTATTGAATCAATTAGGTTTATGTCAGTGTTAACTCAACATGCAAGAATTGACTCTAAATATACTCTAGTTGAGACATGTTTTAGACCATAATATCCTAACTCGGACAGATTTTAAGATTCTGTATCATTCTCCCAAAGCTTATATATCTCTTTGCCCCGATGGAAGGTACCCCGATGGAAGTTATTCAAGATAGCATAATGCCTTCTTATATCTAGCTGACTTCAGTGTTAGAGTTATATATACTAATAACTTCTATTTAAACCACTGGGACCTAAAGCATTCTTAACTTTATTTTGCTTATATTTCTGTATATAAATTGGTAAGAAAATCATTTGGAGAAACCAGGACTTTCCAACTGACAGATCAAAGACTTATGTCATTTCAGTATATGATATATCCATAGTCTATAACAGGCATCCTCATACTGTGGCCCTCCAGCTGTTTTGGCCTCCAATTCCCAGAAACCCTAATGAGCTTGTTCAGTTGTCAGGAATTCTGAGAATTGAAGGTCTAAACAGCTGGAGGGCCACAGTTTGAGGATGCCTGAACTATAACATGATTTGCCAACAGTCTTGCGACATCATCAGACGGGCAACATTGCCCGTCCTATGACACTTCAACTTCACTTGAGGCACGGAGCCCACTGGCTCCCATCACACGATATTGATCTACTTTGTGCTTCAAGTGAAGTCAAAGTGTTGCAGGAGGTGGTGGAGGTGGAAACAACCAGAGGAAGCCAAGTGGTGACACTTCCCCCGTGGGATGAGGTGAGAGGAAAGGTGGGCGATGCAGAGAATGGAGCAACAGATTCTCCACACCACACACTGTACCCCACCGGATATGCCACGATGCAAAGCAAAACCCAGTCTTAATGTGATGAGGTCCTTAGTACATACAGAAGAACAGTATTTTGTGCACACAGTAGAATGGAAGTAGGCTATGGAAAATGCACTAGGTTTCCATTCACACAATCTGTTCTAACAGAAGACTTCTAAAAGGATGTAACAGATTCCTGTCTTCACACTTTGTTGTTCACAAATACCACATAGGTAAATCAGGATGCTGTCACACCTGCATAATAAATAACTGTGCCCAACAAT